AGGAGAGTGCTCTGTCACTAAATGCTTTTAAAACCAAGGAACTTGTTGTCAGTACTAGGGAAGGGCAACCTACATGTCAGCCAATCATAATTGGGGGCCGACATGTTGAGAACAGTTTTAAATATCTAGGGATTATCCTAGATTGTATCTTAAATTTTACTGAGCACACAGACTATATCTATAAGAAGGCAAGCCAAAGATAGTTTCTTTTGAGGAAACTAAATAGTTTTAATGTGAGTATCCTGAGGATGGTTTACACCAGTTTGCTGGAAAGTATTATTTCCTATATCATCACCTGCTGGTATGAGAATCTGGGGGCTAGAAGCAAAAGTAAGATCACAAAGATTGTTAATATAGCCAGTAAGATCATGTTGGACCCCCAGAGGCAGCTGGTGGAACTGTATACAAACCAGACCAGGAGGAAAGCCTCACAAATAGTTCAGGATTCCACCTACCCTCTCCAACATGAATTTGAAAATCTTCCTTCAGGCAGACGATACAGGGTACCCATAGCGACTTTACTTTATTAAATAAATGATTTATGATTAGGTCTACGTATATTATGTAATTAATTGCTGTTATCTATTTATTAATATTATTTAGTTATTGATTTATTATCTATTTATGGTTTTAGTACTATTAGCCTAATTTCTATATACTCATTTTATGTCTCATGTGTCTGTAATTCTTTCAAGACGTTCGTGTACTGTATGTTCTGTGTGTCTGTTGTATTGGACTGTAAAGTCAAGTGTATTTGTGGTATATGTTTCTGTGGGGCCGAAGATGAATTTCCACATGTGTGGACAATAAAGATTTCTAATCTAATCAAAGCTGAATTTTCAGCATCATTACTCCAGTCGTCAGTGTCACATGGTCCTTCAGAAATCATTCCAATATGCTTATTTGCTGCTCAATAAATATTTCTGATTATTATCAATATTGAAAAACAGTTATGCTCCTTAATATATTCAGAAACCATGATATACAACCATTCAAATGTTTGATGTGTGTGTGTGTGTGTGTGTGTGTGTGTGTGTGTGTGTGTGTGTTATTTAATAGAAATTACTGTTTTTATTCAGCATATAAAAACATTTATAATGTTGCAAAAAATATATATTTCAAATAAATTATGTTCTTTTGAACTTTCTAT